ATCACCCTAGCCTCAATCCCTGTTAACTCCTCGGCCGTATACGCGAAGATGTCCGCGAACTCCCTTATCAAGTTGACCAACCTCGACCTGATCGGCTCTCCCAGCTCTTTCCCAATTCTAAACTTTCGATCATCACTCCCCTGCACCATCTGAATTTCCTCGACTTCACCACCAGGTTGTATGTCTATCTTCTCTTTTCCCTTGTCTTGCCATCCCTTCTTCTCCTTCGACCTCGACCCTCCTGGTCGATCAGGCCTCTCTTCCCCGCCTCTCAATTGCTTCTTTGCCAGCTGCTTGTTGCTGCTGACTGTAGTTTGGCAACAACTCCTCGACGTGAGCTGGTCCCCAACAATCTCACCCACATTTTCACCCACAGGATATTTGATCGTCATGTGGTATGTAGTCACAACTGCTTGGAACGCGTTCAAACCTGTCCGCCCCAGGATGATATTATACGATGACTCTGCACCAACCACTACAAACCGCACCATCCTTAAATTTCTAGTATCGCCCGACCCTAATGCCATAGTTAGACTCACCTCGCCCATTGGCATCACCTCACCTCCATTAAAACCGTACAGGGCCGTCGCTACAGGTTTTAGCTCTAGGTTCAAATGCTTGTTGATCTGCGCGAAGCAATCATAGAACATCACGTAGACCAAGCTTCCAGTGTCGATGAACACCCTCTTCACGTCAAACCCCGCTACTTCCACCGTGATGACCAGCGCGTCATTGTGGGGTAGCAGGACCCCCTCCGCGTCCTCTGCTCGAAAGCTGATCACCGGCATTCGACCAGTTATCCCGACCTCCTCTCTCTTGCACTTTACAGCTTGCACATGCCCCTTTCATGCATTGTTCGAATCTCCATCCGTGGGCCCTCCAGAAATCATATAAATTGTGCCCCTCTTCGTGGGCACCTCCACTCTCGGCTCATCTCGAGCATCATCACCCTGCCTCCTCTTCTTCCTCCTGGCATCGTCTTCCCTGTCATCATCCTTGTCACTCCTCGTCACTGAGTCTTCTCTGCACCTCCTTTTCTCCTTACCCCATGGTCGATCACGGATGACAAACTCCTTAGGTGTCCTGCTCTTATGAGACGCTCGATCTCGTCTTTCAGGTGCCTACAGTCCTCTGTGGTATGTCCATAATCCCTATAGAACCTGCAGTATCTATTCGACCTGGGCTTGGTCGGCCCCTCGAATCTCGTCGCCGGCCATGTGACCTCCTTGCTCTCCAATTTCTCCTCTATTGCCACCAAGACTTCGCCCACGTGGGCGTTGATAGGAGTGAAATTATTGTATCTTTGACCATTGGGTAGCTGGGGTCGCCCTTGCCATCGATCTTCTCGCCCTCCACGGAACGAATTTCGATCATCCCTCCTGGGCGACAACCTCTTAGATGGGCCATTCTTTGGAGAATTCCTCCTAGGTGATCCCCTCCTGGGCGAGCTCGGCCTCCCCTTCCTCTGCTCAGGTTTCGTTGCCTCCTCGAGTTTGGCAAACTCAGCCTCCGTCTCTTCCAAATTGATGTACTTCCCGCATCTTTTCAGCACCTCATCGTAAGTTCGAGCAGGTGTCTTTGCCAGCGACGTTCGACATGGCCCTGGTCATAGACTTCTAATCAATCCTCCTGCCTTCACCTCATCGACCGCCGTAGGCACCTCTAAGCACATTTGATTGTACCGAGCAACATATTTTCGTAGAGATTCTTTCTCGCCCTGCCCTGCCGCATCGCCATCAGAGTGAGATACGTCTTCTCCTGCGCGACCGCACTCGAATATTGATTGGTAAGTTGTCCTGCAAATTCCTCAAAGTCTCTGATCGACCCGGGAGGAAATTGGTGGAACCAGTCGAACACACCTCCTCGTAAGGTTGATAGGAACGCCCTGCAACTGACCGGGTCTGAGTATCCATACAAAACGGACATATTTTCAAATGCCCTCACATGCCTCGACGGATCGCTCGACCCATCAAAGGTCAGATTTATCTCCCTGAAACTTGCGGGCAGCGGTACAACCAGAATTTCCCTTGAGAACGGGTGTCCTCGAGCACGTCTGTCCGGCCTTCCCTCCACTTTATCTTGCAGTTGCCGGAGCTGCTCAGCCATCTTCTCCATCGCCCTATCTCTGGGCTCTCCTCCTCCACCATAGCTCGACACATCCTCCTCTTGAGTTCCCGGCACCGTGGTCGGTGTGGTAGTAGCCTGGGATGTCTGGTGAGTGACCTGATGCACAGCTTGCGCCGCCGCGTTGGCCATCATCCGTTGCATCTCTTCCCTCATCATAGTCACCATTTGTTGAGCAGGGGGTTGCGGTGCGCCTCCTGTTGGTGGCGCCATCGTCTGCACCACTGGTCCAACCTGTTGCTTCACAACCGGGCCTGCCTGTAACGGCGCGAGAGCCGCCGTTGGTGTTGTTTCACGAGCTACGTGCTCTCTGCTCGTGCCTTCTCCCCCGCCTAGAATCACCGCACTCTGAGGCATCGGTGTTGGGGTCGCCGGTGTTTGTAGCGGCGCAGAGAAGCCAGGTGGAGGACCTGCTCCCATCGGTCTGGTTGTCGTCCACGCGTCATTGAACGACGATTGCAAGTTCACACGAGGAATTCCGTCAGCCATAGCTGAGCTCAGAGCACAACTTTTCGAACAGAAGTCCCACAGACGGCGCCAATAATACAAGTCTCGCACCCCGACCGGCTGGAAATCGCCTCAAGCTCGTTCTCCTTGCCGGTTGAACGCGGAACCTGCACGAAATTCTCACACCGGAGGTGTTTTCCGGTGAAGAGCCTCCAACGCTCAAGTCAGATCTTGAGAGATGAAATATATGTGTGAAAATGTAAGAGTATGAGCAATCCTCCCTAAAAATGAGGATTCTTGTCCCTATTTATAGGGACGAGCTACCTGTTCAACACGCGCGACTTGGGCGTGTTTGGCCAGCTGTCCTTCTGCTCGTCCGTACAACCGCGCGCCTCCACTATCCCTGATGTCAGAGAACGCGTTGAATCTCTCAGAGAATGTCAGAGTTCGTTATAGCCATGGACCACTCATAAAGCGCCGCGTGTCTCCCTCTCACGTGCTGGAGGCTCTCCTATTTATTCCGATGTTCGACCGAATCTTCGACGAACATTGAGCTGCTCCCCAGGTATGAGGTGGTCGATTCTACGACCACGCCCCCTTTGACCGTCTTTCCTCGACCATCTCCTCGAGCAGACGGTGCTTATCCAGTACTATAGAGCCCGCTCTTCCTCGTCGTCTACCTTCTTTCCTTCATTACGGATGTTTGGTCCAGTTCGACTAGAGCACTGATCTATTTTATTCGATTAGCCTGACAAACCGGTCTAGGATATAATATCCCATATCATACTGAATATATACTCGTATAAACGCAACATATACCCATTGTGTGAATTAAGAAATTAAATGAGTTATTATAAGAATAATTTCATTTCTCTCTCCTATGCAATCCCATAAAAAAGGGATAGAGTTTTTTTTTTTTTCTTGGTAACCATGCGCAAATCACGCAACCCACATCTTGGATGGAGGAAAGTTACAATTGGTAACTAATTTTTAGGTAATCAAGTAATTAAAGTTGATTGATGAGGTATATACCAAATTATTTGTTGTATGAAGGTAAATTTGAAAGAGAAAATTACCCTAATAACGATCCCTCATTATTTTTATTGCATATTTACGACCCCTTTAACATTATTAGCAAACATACTAAAACTCTTATCTTTATTTGCATAATAATCACACTTTTTTTTAAAATTAGTGTGGGTGCGTTTTTGTTGGATAGCATTAAATATATGGAGACTTTTCTCTCCAATCAATTAATGGAAGAAATTAGAGAACAACTCCAATTCTAATTTATCGCCGACCTTCAACACGCCGCCCTTCTTCACTGCCAAGAGGAATGAAATCGAACAGTTACCCTCTCCGATTTCGACCGATTGTTGTTCGAGAATTAGAAAAAATAAAGAGTTCCCTAGACGACGGTGTTTCTGTTCGGATCGTCTCGCCTTCTCGATTTCATGCGAAGGTTGTCCAGGAAGGTGAAGCACCTCCTGATGTCGTTGGAGGCTATTTTCTGGAGCTGGTCGGGTGGCGAGGCCGGGTCGATGGGGATTCGGATGCGTCAGCGAGTTCGGCTTCAAGTTCGCGCAGTTTCTTGTGTAGGACGACTGATTTGTTCTTCGTTTTGTTGTTTTGAATAATTTTTCGCTGCATTTGATAATTGTTTTTGGTTAATTTTGTAGTTTCTTTTCATGTGATTGTGTGTGAGAAGGTACTACTTGCACACACGCCGGTGAATCGCGGCGACAAACGACAGTATATGTTGGGTGTATAGACAATATATGTTTAGTATATGTACAATATATGTAAGGTATATCAGTTTATGATCAGTATAGGTACAGTATATATTAAGTATATTAGTTTATATACAATTTAGTTTATAAATAGATGGTTGTTTTTTCTCTTTTTTAATGTTTATTCATAGTTTATGTTTGGTGTATCATAAGTTTTTTTATTGAAAATGGATTTTTTTCTGTTTATTTTATTTTGTGTATACGTATGGTTTATACTTTATATTGAGTATATTTTAAGATCTCTTCATAAGATCTTAAAATATAATGTTTATTATTTCTTTCTATATAGCAATGTGGATATTAAATCGAACCTCGTTGAAAGTGGATTAATTGGATATATTACATATGAAAAATTGATTACAACCAAAAAAGTTATAAACTTTTAAAATATTTGATGAGTGGATATTGCAGTAAATAAAAAATTGTGTTTTTTAATTTTTTTTTTCTTTCCATGATTTCCGAATATTATGGAAGAGATGCCTTTTGAAATTGGTTCCATATTAGTTGGCAATTATACAATTCTTTAACTGTTATCTCGTATGATTACAATTTTTTTCTATTTACTTCTGGTATGCATAAAATTTTGTTCCCTAAAAAGAAATCTCGGTTATCCGTGGGCCTGGCCGGCAGTTTTATGAATGGGTCTGGTGGTTCAATAACCTTGTTGACCCGCCTGGAAGTGAGAGGCCGGGCGGTTGGCCTGGCCATGTGTAAATTGAATAAAACAAGTCAAAAATTCGCTAGGGCTGGCTGCAGATGTTTTCGTGAATTTTACTTACCCTTTGTATTGTTGTTCAGTCATTCACTCCTCAAGTCGTTTAAACGGGCGGGCCACTCAGCAGCAGCAGCAGCAGCCACATTTCCGACCAGGTTAGTATTGAATTATCGATACTTATTACTCTCCTCCATTGTTTTTGTTACTACAATGGTTTTTGCAGATAAATTGTCTCATATAATTAGGGTTCGGGTGTTATGGTGTTCAACTGCCAACTGAAATCGATATTTTGTTAGCTTCAAAGATTAAGAATCTGACGCTCAAACAACTTTGTTATGGTGTTCAACTGTCAATTAAAATTGATTTTTGTATTCCACTCCACTTTGCTTGGTGTCTGTGTGTGTCGGCGTGTTAAATAGAAATTTCTTAGAGTTCATAATTAGTTAGAATAAAAGATGAGCAGTTTTTTTGGCTCATCAAACTTTTACTACTTGCCTGGTTATGTTGTATTTTTCATTTGATTCATAATCTGCTCCATCAGCTGGTTATAGATTTTTTTCATTTTCTCGTGATTAATCTATTTGCATGGAACCAACGCCGACTTTTGAATTCTGATTTCAGTTGTGTGAGGTGTGAGGTGTGTGGGCTGTGGGTATGTGTTTGCTTGAACTGTGCTGGCTGTATGTGGGCATGTGTCGTATGTGCGATTCAGCTTGAGTAAGCTCTTACTCCGAAGAGATTGTGGCTAATCAGATATTTGTACGGGTTCCTAGTTGACCGTAAGCGATTTGGGGCTGATATGATAGCGTCCAAAAGCTTATGGGCGACCGTTTAAAAATTGGGTAATGTTTTGGGAGTTGGGATTGAATTGTTATATTTTATAATGTTGTCCATATGTCTAGCTACGCATCATTTATCTGGTTTTATGCTGTTTTGACCCTCGTACCCTAGCTATCTGTTTTTATTGTCTTCACAGAACTTGTAGCTTAGTCTCTTCGGTTTATGTAGGTGACACAATTACATGAATATTCATTTTGAACTAAATATTACATTGTAAGTATGAAGACTGAAACGGAAGCCGTCCAGTTTCGCAGTAGCGTAGCATCTGGTTTGTTGTGATTTTTCAGTTTTTGTACGATACTATTTTCCTTTCCGAGTCTTCACCAAAGTCGTAAATATTCCCTTGGCATTTCGTACAAAGAAGAATTAGTTCAATACCTACTTTCTATTAAAAGTTTTGCTTCATGCTGCAGTAGTGTTGGTGTTTTTTGTGACATTTTCACCCTTTGAACACATTCATCCGTGTTTGAAGTCCAAACAAGATGTTTAGATAGATGTCTTGGCATTTTATTGGATCAATAATCCCCTCACTTGTTTTTCTAAATGAAGTTTTGTTTTAAAATCTGAACATTACCTGGCTGTTTGCTGTCAAATTCGCACCAGCAAAGTTGTTTGGTTTTTCCCTATTTTCACCCTTTTAACATACTCATCCTTGTTTGAAGTCTAACCAGCAGTTCTGGGTATTAATCTTGATCATGATACAGCTCATATTGATTCAATGGAATAAGCTGTGGTGGAAAGACGAAAGCTAAACAAAAGTTGTTGGATTGTTTGAACGAGCATGACTCGTTCCGTTAGCTATCGCTTTCTGATTCATTTCAATGTGGGTAAAAATTGTATGAAGTTACTAATTCTATGAGGAACTATGAATTGTTTCATAAGCATGCATTTAAATCCTCAACGACATGCTTCTTATGCTCTATAGTTCATATTTGAACTTGCATTATCCACGAGAATTATATCTCTGGCTCATATCTTAAATCCTATAGGCGATACTTGATTTTTATAGGGTCATCTTGAGTGTCTTATATATTTCATTGGGTTGCATAGATTTGGTCCGGTATGCATGGTCTAGTATCATATCCTAGTGGGATTGGAGTCATTTGGCTA